GGGATAGGGAAGACCAGAACACTTTTACAATCCCGTCTGGGGGGCGGCCGCACAGCGAGGCCTTATCTCGCGACCGCCGTCGACGGCACGGAGCGGGGAATTCACCAGCCTTAATTGAGCAGTTGGAGTTAACTAATCAAGTCAATAGCCACTGCAATAAACGACTAAACAAACACCGTATCATCTCCGTCGTCAAAGACTTACTCAGTTTTGCTCTACCACAGCGCAGGCTCGTTTTTTTAACCACTTTATATGGCGTCAATTGAGCGACGGGCGCTGCTGGCGACGCACACGACGCTTCGTCTGGTGTTGTGTTTGTGTCGGTTTATGTTCTCTGCCCAACGGGAAAACGGCGGGTTGGCGGGATCCGACGGGATTCAACGAACCTGTACGCCACCTTTACTTGCCCTGCGACGCTGCACGCTGCGGGCAAGGTCGTTGACTCCGGGCAGCGGGGGTCGCTCTGGACTGATGTAGCCTTATTTATTTTGGCGCCACCCGTCGGTCGATAGGTGATGTAGTGCTCGCCCGTGGGGGGACGACACCTCCGGAGGGGGACGGGGGCCACCCCGGGCCTCCCACCAGGATGCAGCAAGGGGATGCACTGCCACCGCGCAGCAACAAAAATGAATCGAAAAACAAGACCGACATTCAGGGTTCGCGCAAATTGGAAATGGTTGTCCCTGACCATTCGTTCACTTCCACAGTTATTGTAAAAAACTTGATATTCTCTGACTTTGTTCACCAGGTCGCATTAAAATAATTCAGTCAAGAAGGCACATGACCCTAATTTGAATATTTCTGTAGGGGACCAATTCATGTTTCCATGACTTGATGATAAGTTTCCAATTTCCAGTATTGTGTCGGACTTTTCCATGACCAGCCTGACCGGGATGAACTCTGTGCCCCGCAGGAGCCCAGCCCACACCCTCGCCCTCATCTCTAGCCCTGCTGGTCGCGCAGCAGCACGCTATCGGCTCCCCGATAGAGCGAGGTATAAATCAGGTGACTCACCGGCCGAGGGATATCGAGAGCGAGCGAGAGAGATCGATAAGCCTTACACCACACGCTCAATGTGGCCCGCTTCCTAAGGCAACCCTTGTTCAGTCCGGACGGTATGCGCCACACCACCTCGCCTACCAGACATCACAGGGATGCTGTTGTGACTGAGTCTCTCTGTCTCACACGCACCCTCACCCTCTTCTCGCGCGAAAGCTCAAGCTTCTTATCGGAATCCAGCCCTCAATACCCCGTACCGCACCGCCCGGCAGGTGGCGGCGGCGGCGCAGGGTGGCACTGTGTGTCCGTGCCGCCGGGGCCCCCGGCCCGGGGGACGCGCACCGCCGCCAGACTCCTGTGTGGTCCGGGGCGAGAGCCGGCCAGGGGCGCCGCAGGGCGCCGCAGCGCACCCTCCGGTGTCAACGCGCAGAGATATTTGCACCGCCCGCCCGCCAGGGTCATCGAGATGTATCGATATCTCTGCGGACCCATCAGCCTATCCGCACACATCCTACTGCCACTTCAAGGTCGCCTGGAGGAGGCACTTTAACACCCCCCCTCCCTTTATAGCCGCGACATTTCTCATTCATAAAAATGATTTGTTTGGGCTTTCATTTGCATCTAAAGAAAAATATACAAAGTCCATTGCGTTTTCTAATAAAGCGCAACGATCCATCCATGGATCCCTCTAGGAGTTCCCAATTTAAATTTGACATTTCAATTTCATCGTACCGACATGTTTCCCCTGAGTGTGTGCTTGCGCGGCTGCGGCGCGGAAGGCCACAAAACAAAACCAGTCGGGTATTCGATCTCCCGCCCGTGTAGCTGTCACTCCGCGGCGTGCGTGCCGTCAAGTCAATGACTGTGACGCGCGGTGGTTCGCTGATGCCCCACCTCTCTCTCTCTCCTCTCTCTTTCTGCCTCTCCAGCTCCCTCTCTCTCTGCTCTGTCGCGCTTGCAATCAGAGCGACAAGGACGAAGCGAGCGCACGCGTTTACGCCGTGGGGGTGGCTACATTGATTTTAAATAACCGCGTGTCCTGGTTAAAACACGG